GAATTGCCCTTCACCTGCCGCTCCCTCTGCTGCGTTATCGATGCCTGATGATTTTTGCTTTTCCTTTTAAAGCTTCTGTACCCTCTGTGCATCCTCCTGTACCCCTCAGCCCACGTTTGTAATTCCTGCAGTCTGATATTCCAGCTTAGTTTAGGAGAGAGACCAAACATCCTGAAAAAAAAATCAGCGTGCCCTGTGCTATCTTAAACTTCTCTCTAAAACATCTTGTGTAAACTGGGCTCTGGCCTCATCCAAAGAGAGAATTCATTAGAACAGAAGACATTACTGCATTTGTGAAGTTTCTTATTAAAAAATCCTAAATAGATATGCTAATTTGTAAAATCTATAAAACTTGTATCCGTGCTGTACACGGGGCTGTTTTCTGCCATCAAGTTGTGCACCTGGGATCCCAAATGCCGAGGTAAAACCCTTTTTATCCCCTTAACCGTGTCTGTTCATTATTAAAAACCGGCTGTTCAAGGCACCATTATCACCTTTGGATCGCCGTTCCTGCCCTGGAATTGTTCCGTGATGATCCAAGGAAATCTGCAATTCCAGCAGGGACAATTTGGGATCCAGGAGGGTGAATGGGATGTGTTTGTCTTTCACCCGCCGCTCCCTCTGCTTGTTATCACCTTTGGATCACTGTTCCCTGCCCTGGAATTGTTCCAATTTTTGTTCCGTGGTGATCCAAGGAAATCTGCAATTCCAGCAGGGACAATTTGGGATTCAGGAGGGTGAATGGGACGTGTTTGCCCTTCGCCCGCCACTCTCTCTGCTGTGTTATCACCTTTGGATCACCGTTCCCCACCCTGGAATTGTTCCGTGGTGATCCAAGGAAATTCCAGCAGGGACAATTTGGGATTCAGGAGGGTGAATGGGATGTGTTTGCCCCTCTCCTGCCGCTCCCTCTGATCTGTTATCGCGTTCCTGCCCTGGAATTGTTCCGTGGTGATCCAAGGAAATTCCAGCAGGGACAATTTGGGATCCAGGAGGGACGATTTGGGATGTATTTGCCCTTCTCCTGCCGCTCCCTCTGATCTGTTATCTCCGTTCCTGCTCTGCAATTGTTCCGTGGGCAGAGCACCATCGGCTCCGGGGCTGCGGTTCATCACCGGGGCTCTGCTCGGTTTGTCCTCGCCGAGGTCTCCATGGAAACGGTGCAGTGGGAATGATGTTCCYGGGTTTTTATCCTGCCTGGGAAGGCCAGCGCTGCCTGATGTTTGTCTGCTCTCCTGCCCGCTGCTCCCCCTGAGCTTCCTTTTAGGAAAACCGACGGAATTTGGAGCCAGAATTCATCTGGGAAAATGAACCGTAATATTTAAATGTTMAATCTTTGTGTTGGAGAGCAGATGGTAAAAAAAAAATAGCATTTTGTCACCCCTCAGGAGGAAAATCTGGTGGGAAACGTTTTTTATGTTGTCTGGGAAGAGCTTTGCAGCTTTTCCTGGGGATGTGGATCCAGTGGGATGGGCAGGGGGAGGGAGGGAGAACTTTGATCCTTTTTGTGAATTGAGAAGAATTCCTGCTTCACACCKCTGGAATTAAATTCTGGACACCCCGATTTGTGCCCAGGAAACTGAGAAACCGAAGGGTGAGGTCATTGCAGGGGAGTGCAGTGGGTTGGAGCAGCGTTAGGGGGGATTTTGGGAAGGAATCGCTCCCTGGGAGGGGCTGGGATGGAATTCCCAGAGGTCATTTGGGATCACTCAAGGTAATTTGGGGTCATTCGAGGCCATTTGAGTCCCTGACTGGGGTCATTTAGGGTTACTCAAGGTAATTTGGGGTTTCTTGAAAGCATTTGTGGTCACTCRAGRKCATTTGAGTCCCTGACTGGGATAACTCAGGTCGTTTWGGGTARCTCSATGTCATTTGGGGTCACTCSARKYCATTTGAGTCCCTGACTGGRATMACTCAAGATTATTCAGGGTCACTCKAGGCCATTTGGGGTAATTCAMRGTCATTTGGGGTCACTCAAGGCCATTTGGGTCCCTGCCCGGGGTTATGGGTTTGCCCCTCTCTGCTCTAATGAGGCTTTAGGGTCAAAGCGCTCCTGAGGSTCCCAGAATTGTGGGATATTCTGGGCTGTGAGGGATCCCCAAGGATCAGCCCCGCTCCAGGCCCTGCATTTGTAGGATCCCAGCTCTGGAAGTGCTCCAGGAATGCAGGTAAACCCCCCTGACCCCAATTTTGGGGGATTTTCACATCTGGAACCTGTGCTGGCAGCAGAGCTCCTGAGCCAGCGTGGTTTTTGGGGGAATTCCCCCAGATCCCACCCGGGCTCATCCATTAGGGATCATTCCCAATTTCCCTTTGTTTAGACTGATGCAATCTCTGGAATGTTTTAAATCAAGAGAGGCCATTTCTCTGATTCCCCAGGAACCCCCATGATTAATTAAATCCCATAATTAATTGCAGCGAACCCAAGAGGGGCTGAAGGGCAGCAGCTCCCGGACAACGGGAAGAGCATTTCCCACTGGATTTGCATCCTGAGGGGTGACAAAATCCTATTTTTTTACTCTCTGCCCTCCAACAGAAACATTTAATATTTAAAAATGATKATTAACTCTTTCCAGATGAATTCTGGCTCAAAATTTCCTAAGAGCTGCCCTACCCAGTGGTGGATTTTCTCAATTTTTCCAGGGATTTTTCTCTCAGCAGCACCAAACCCCCCAAATCTTTTATGAATGAGCCACGGACACTCACCCCTGGATAATCCTTCCCAATCCCTCGCAAATCTTTGGGGTTTCAGCCCCTGTAATCCCAGAGCTCCTGGAGGAAAAGGCTGGAAAGGGCATTTCAACAATTTAAGCCATGTGTGTAGGGATCAGGATGGGATTTGGGGTTTTTTTTCCATTTTTTTCTCCTTCAGGCTGGCGGCTGCAATGCCTGGGTTTGATTTAATCCCCGTGGCATTTGGGATTGGGGTTTAGGGGAGGAAGGGCAGCTCCCTGAGTTGAAAAGAAAAATGGATTTTCCAAGAGTTCTGCTTGTCTTGTACWGCACAGGGACACCCAAAATAAATATTTGGGGGAAAACAATGACCTAAAATCCATAATTCACTCCAAGGGCTGTCAATCCTTGCTYTGGGGAGCATCTGGAATGGAAAAAAAAAACCCACTGGGAAAGTTTAAATGGAGCAAAATCCGCATTGAAATGGGGAAGGGGATGAACAGAGAGGCGATGGGCAGGGCATTAATTAGGGACAATAAAGGGTGAGGATGAAACTCACAGTTAAATGGGAAATTAACGGGAATCTGCAGAATTCCTGTGGCTTTTCCTGGGAAAATGTGCTCTGCATCCCACAGCTCTGCTCAGGCTTTGTGCTTTAAACTTTTTGGGTTTAAACAGAGGCATTGAAAATCCATCATTATTTTAAAAACGGTGGAATTTATGGTTGGACCAATGAATATTTCACAGCCTGAGCCAGGAACAGCATCCAGGGAAACACCTCGAAATCAGCCATGGAATTAGAAGAATAATTAAGCAATATTTACTTATAATTATATCCAAT